GTGGCTAAGACACTTGCCTGCTAACCAGATGGCTGGCGGTTCAAACCCACCAGTCACTCCTCGGAAGGAAGGTTGGGCAGTCCTACTTCCGTAGTGATACTGCCTCGGAAACCCAAGGAGGGGTCGCTATGAGTCGGGTTTGACTCGACGGCACATAACAACAACAACAACAATACCAGTAAAGAGACTGCTGAAAAAGAAATAAGGAAATCAATACCATTTACAATAGCTACCAAAAATAAATAAATAAATAAATAAAATAAAATACTTAGGAATAAATCTTACCAGGGACACAAAAGACCTGTACAAAAAACTATAAAATACTACTTCAAGAAACCATAAGAGATCTACATAAATGGGAGAATATACCATGCTTGTGGATAGGAAATTGAACATTGTGAAAATGTCAATTCTACACAAAGCAATCTATACATTCAATGCAATCCCAATCCAGACTCCATCAACATTCTTTAAGGATATGGAAAAAATAATCACTAACTTTTTTGCGGAAAGGAAAGAGACCTCAAATAAGCAAAGTGTTATTGAAGAGCAAAGTAGAAAGTCCCACAGTCCTGGATCTTAGAATCTACTATACAGTGACTGTAGTCAAACTTGCCTGGTATTGGTATAATGACAGACACATAGACCAATGAAACAGAATTAAGAACCCAGAAATAGATCCATCAAGCTATGGTCAGCTGATCTTTGACAAAGGGCCAAAATCCATAAAACGGGGAAGAGATTGTTTAACAAATGGTGCTGGAAAACTGGATGTCCATTTGCAGAAAAATGAAACAAGATCTGTACCTCACATCACACAAAAAAACTAACTCCAGATGGATCAAAGACTTATATGTGAAACTTAAAACTATATAGTTCCTCAAGGAAAAACTAGGGGTAAATTTAGGGGCCCTAATATATGGCATAAATATATATATATATGGCATAAATATATATATGGCATAGGGAGCTCTGGTAGCATAGTGCTGAAGGCACTTGACTGCGAACCAAAAGGCTGGCAGTTCAAACCCACAAGTCACTCCTCAGAAGGAAGATGGGGCAATCTACTTCTATAGTGATACTGCCTCGGAAACCCAAGGAGGGGTCGTTATGAGTTGGGTCTGACTCTACGGCACATAACAACAACAACAACAGCAATATATGGCATAAATAGACTATCAAGGATAAGCCAAAATGCACAAACAGCAGAAGAGAAACTAGATGGATAGGACCTTCTAAAAATTACATTTTTATGTGCTTCCAAAGATGTCTCCAAAAAAGTCAAAAAAGAACCTACAGATTGGGAAAAAAATATCCAGCAATGACATATCCGACAAGGGACTTATCTCTATAATTTATAGAAAACTCCAGCACCTCAACAACAAAAGACAAACAATCCAATTGAAAAACGGGCAGAAGACATGAATAGACACTTCACCACAGAAGATATTCAGGTGACTAATAAACATGGAGAAATGTCCACATCATTTGCCATTGTTGTTGTTGTTGTTGTTATGTGCCATAGAGTCAGACCTGACTCATAGGGACCCCTCCTTGGGTTTCCGAGGTAGTATCACTATGGAAGTAGATTGCCCCATCTTCCTTCTGAGGAGTGGTTGGTAGGTTTGAACTGCCATTAGAGAGATGCAAATCAAAACAACAATGAGATACCATCTGGCCCCAGCACTAGTAGCAAAGTTCAACAAGACAGAAAAAACAAATGCTGGCAAGGATGTGGAGAGATTGGGACTCTTATTCACTGCTGGTGGGACTGCCAAATGGTACAACACTGTGGAAAGCAGTATGGCGATTCCTTAAAAAGTTGGAATTAGAAATACCATTTGACCCAGCCATTCCATTACTAGGTAAACATCCTAAGGAAGTGAGAGCCATGACAAGAATGACATATGTGCACCCATGTTCATCATAGCACTGCTTACAATAGCCAAAAGATGGAAACAACTTTTGAAATCTTCTGTTAGTTCTTTTATGTTGTCACTTCTTCCATTTGCTTTAGCAACTCTCCATTCAAGAACAAGTTTCAGAGTCTCTTCTGACATCCATTTTTTTTTCTTCCTTTCCTGTCTTTTTAATGACCTTTTGCTTTCTTCTTGGATGATGTTCTTGATTTCAGCCCACAGTTCCCCTGGTTTTTGGTCACTGGTTTTCAATGCATCAAATCTATTATTTAGAATTTAGGAGGTAATCAAGGTCATATTTTTTCATGGACTTGTTTTAATTGTCTTCAGCTTCAACTTGAGCTGCATATGAGCAGTCAGCTCCTGGCCTTGTTTTGGCTGAGGATAGTTAGCTTCTCCATTGGCTCTTTCTACAGACAGATGCAATCAATCTGATTCATGTGTACTCCATCTGGTGAAGTCTATGTGTATAGCTGCCGTTTATGCTGTTGAGGAAAAAAAAGTATTTGCAATGAATAATAAGTTACTGGTCTTGCAAAATTCTATCATACGATCTGCAGTGTCATTTCTATCTTCAAGGCCGTATTTTCCAACTACTGGTCATTCCTCATTTCCAACTTCTGCATTTCAATCACCAATAATAACCAACACATCTTGTTTGCATATTTGGTCAATTTCAGACTGCAGAAGTTGGTAAAATCCCTAAATTTTCTTGTCTTTGGCTTTGGTGGTTGGTGCATAAATTTGAATAGTAGTATTAACTGGTCTTCCTTGTAGGTATATATATTATCCTATCACTGACAGCAATGTACTTCAGGATAGATCTTGAAACATTCATTGTGAGAACAAATGCCACACCATTCCTCTTCAGTTTGTCATTCCCGGCATAGTAGACCATATGGCTGTCTGATTCAAAATGTCCAAAACTGGTCCACTTCAGCTCACTAATGCTTAGCATATCGATCTTTGTGTGTTCCATTTCATTTTTGACAACTTCCAAAGTTTCTGGATTCATACTTCGTACATTCCATGTTCTGATTATTAATGAATGTTTGCATTTTGAGTCAAACCAAATCAGAAAATGGAGGTTCTGAAAACTTTACTCCACCCACATCATTAAGGTCGACTCTATTCTGAGGAGGCAGCTCTTTCCCAGCCATATTTTGAGTGCCTTCCGACTTGAGGGGCTCATCTTCTAGAATAATATCAGACAATGTTTCAGGGCTTTTAATAAAGTTTTCCAGTAATATGTCAGTGTTTTCCTGCTATTCATAATGTTTTCACTGGCCAATTCTTTGAGAAGTGGATGGCCCTTTTCTTCTTCCAAGTCTGTCTTAGTCTGGCAGCACCGCTGAAACCTGTCCATCATGGGTGACCCTGATGGTATTTGAAATCCCAGTGGCATAGCCTCTAACCTCACAGCAACATGCAGTCCACCACAGTATGACACACTGACAGACAAGTGGTGGTTTTTTGGTTTAGGATCTAGCTTATGAGGGGCAGAACTGGAACTGAACCCAGAGAGTCTGGAGATAACCGTTTCTACTCTGCTCACCCCACAGGGAGGTTGTGAGGGCTTCCTGAGGGCCTCTTTTACACACTCAGGCATCCTTTTACTCTTCATTTAGGCTTACCCATCTTCAGTGCTATTATGATATTAAATGAGTTATTTCATGTAAAGTGCTCCAAACTCTGCATAGCATGTGGCAGCTGCTCTGAAGCATCTACTGTTATCCTTAGGATTGTTGCTGGGGCAAGCTCTGTGTTAGCTCTGTGGCAAACCCAGTCTGAGGAGGCAGCTGACTGAGGGCAACAGAGTTCCCTGGGGTGATAAACCAAAAAAAAGGACAACCAGCTCATTATCATTGAGTCAATTCTGACTCACAGCAACCCCTGTTGGGTTTCTGAGGCTGTAAATCTTTAGAGAAGTAGATTGCCCCATCTCACCTCCATGGAGCAAGTGGTGGATTTGAATCACTGATCTGGTTAGCAGCCTAATGCCTTATCCACTATGCCACCAGAGCACCTTCTCTGAGGTGATAGGAAAGCCAACATCTAAGTCCTAAGTGGGGGTTAAAGGTCAGTTGTGCTGTGGGGCTAGAGAGAATAGAAATGACTCAACAAGAACTAAAGGAAGGCTTCTTAGAGGAAGAGGCATTTCCAATAAAAATACCCGCAGACCCTCACTGGTGCATCCTGGGTGCTGGGTCTCCTTGTGAGTGCTTTACACGTTAGTACATTTACTCTTCCCAGTAATTTTACAAAGTGGGTAGCATGCTCATGGCCCCATTTTACAGGTGAGGAAACAGAGGCAGAGAGGTTAGAAAATTTACCCAGGTAACAGACCCCATGCACAGCACAGAGCCTTGATGAGCAAATTTCAGCTTGGAGCCCTGCGTTTTGCCAAGGCCTTCAGGAAGCTTGGACTTCTTCCTTCAGTACCCTTGATTATTGATCATAGGCTAGCTCTTGAAATGGTTGAATGCCGACCAATTCTTTTAATGGACGGCAAGAACAACATTATTAATATCATTGTTATTAACTTCTGCAGAGAGGTTTTTGATTTTTTTTTTTTTGATAATCTTACAGAAACCGAATCCACTGCCATCCAGTAGATTCCGACTCATAGCAACCCCCATGAGTTTCTGAGGTGGTAAATCTTTACAGAAGTAGATTTCCCCATCTTCCTTCCGCAGAGCAGCTGGTGGGTCTGAACCACCAACCTTCTGGTTAACAGTCAAATGCCTTAGGCATTGCGCCACCAGAACGCCTTAATAATCTTACAGCAAACCAGTATCTCCATTTAAACTATTTATAGTAAGTTATTATTATCTCTAGGTCACCACAGATGAAGTTTTTGCTCTATAGAACAAGCAAAGCCGCTCGCTGGACGTTCACCGGGACCCTCTCGCCCCCTAACCTCTAGGAAGATTCTGGTACATAGATCGCAAGACGTCCTGAGAGACAAACTAGGTGACTACACCCCCTCCTCGTCGCTCCGCCCTCCGGAGGTTTATAGCCCCACCTCTGACTCAGCGTCTCTCCAGATTCACCCCGCCCTGCGAGGCTCCGCCTCAGCTTGCGCGCTGACGTCACGTCGCGTGCGCCTTCTCGAGCCTGCGCAGTGGTCGGAAGGTCGTCCCTGTGACCGTCTTGGCTGTTGAAGTACCAGTCGCCATGTTGTCGGTCGCCGCCCGTTCGGGGCCCTTTGCGCCCGTCCTGTCGGCCACGTCCCGCGGGGTGGCGGGCGCCTTGCGACCCCTGGTGCAGGCCTCGGTGCCCGCCACCCCGGAGCCACCTGTGCTGGACCTGAAGCGTCCCTTCCTGTGCCGGGAGTCGCTGATTGGGCAGGCCGCGAGCCGGCCTTTGGTCGCCTCCGTGGGCCTCAATGGTGAGCCGGGCTGAGGAATAACCAGCTTCTCGCTCCCTCTGACCCTAGACCCGGGGAGCTACCTAGGAGGGCGGGGGTATGCGGGAAAATGGAGCGTCACCCTGTTGGTGGTTTTCGAGATGCCGCGCTTGGCGACCTTCCCGGGGCATCTTTCCATCGGGCGAGTCCAGGGCTGTTCCAGTTAGAGGTCAATTAAGGCTCCTAACCACAGATTAAATCTTGTAGTTCATCCGTTAACTACGGAGTCTGACTGCTTCCAGCAAAGTCTGATAGCGATTTTGCTGCTTACAGGTCATATGACTTTGGGCAAGTTTCTAAATGTTTTCGTCACCTGTGAAATACGATTGATGATTGTGTCACTTTCCTCGGGATGCTGTGAAGGTTAGATGGAAAAATCCTATGTAAAGGTATTAGCACAAATTTTGGGCATATAATAAATGGTCAAGAAAAGGAGAACTGCTACTAGTAGTTGGGAAGATGTCCCCCTCCACACACCTGAATCTCTTCGGTGACTTCCCCTCTATTCTCTCTCCTAAAAAAATAACACACACAAGCCCCCAAGGTGACATCCAGTGTTGTGTCAGTAGTGTTTTCAGCCTCTGGGCCCAAGGGTTTTCACACCATAATCAATTTAATTTCGAAGAAAAAACAGGCATTGGTTGATGATACTCCCATTTAACAGAAGTGAAGTGACTTGCACAGGTGTACCTGACAGTGATAGAGCATGGGCTTGACAAAACTGTCTTAGGCCTGCACTCTTTCCTTGATCAGCACCACACCCTCTGTCACCAGATACCCCAGTGCCTTGTTCCCTGTTGGTCTTTTTTATGTTCTGTGTATTGAAGATTATGCCCACTGTCTTCCACAGCCTGTATAGTTTTAAAAAACGGGTGGTATCTGGTGTCTCTTGCAGTGTCTCAGTGGTCACTGGCTGCTCCCTTACTTGGAACAAATGCTCCTTCTCCAGTTCCCCACAGTCCTCACCAGGCCTGCTCAAGCCATTGTGTTGCCTGCGTGGCCCCATTTACTTGCTGACCAGTTCGCCTCTTTTTCCTCTTCATTCGCTATCTTTTCTGTGCTTTCCGTGATCTTCCCATTCAGTTTCCATATTTCTAAATTTTACCTAGCCTTTCATTCTCACTTTAGGAGTCAGGTCAATAAAATTTTATATTTTCTGAGTCAGGTCAATAAAATTTTATATTTTCTAATTTCTTTATAGGAGCTCTGGTAGCATAGTGCCTAAGGCACTTGACTGCTAACCAGAAGACTGGTGGTTCAAACCTACCAGCCACTCCTCAGAAGGAAGGTTGAGCAATCTACTTCCGTAGTGATACTGCCTCAGCAACCCAAGGAGGGGTTGCTACGAGTCAGGTCCGACTCGAGTCAGGTCCCACTCGACGGCACATAACAACAACAACAACAACAAATTTCTTTATGTCTTTTACAACACATGATACTTTCTCTTCTATTGCGTTTGTTTATGGGTGGTTCCTTTGAACTTGAGGGCATGGGGAATGTCTCTTTTATTTTTCTTATCCCGGAAACTCAGACTTTGTGTACAGTTGGTGCAAAGTATTTGTGAGTGAATAAAATGGTGATTGTTAGGGGCCACCAGTGGGTTTTGGAGATGCAGTCCAAGGCAGGAACTGAATACTCTACCCCATACCAAGCCTACTCTTGGGATCTGGAGGTAGGAAACAATAAAGGAAGAGAAAGTTAAGTAGTACAGGTAAAATGCATCCTTGGGGTTTGTCAGATGGCTAAAATTGGGAAATTAGCTGATTTGTAGAAGTGCTTTTCCAAGAACAGGTAAATAACTAAGACACCCCTGGTGGTGCAGCGGTTAAGTGCTCGGCTGTTAACTGAAAGGTTGGGAGTTCAGACCCACCTTGCAGATCCATAGGAGAAAGAACTGGTGATCTGCCTCCACAGATATGGTAGCTTAGAAAACTCTAGGGGGCAATTATATTCTATCACATGGGTTGGTATTAGTCAAAAGTTGACTTAGTGGTGCCTAACAATAAGAGCTCTGGTAGCATAGTGGCTAAAGCACTTGACTGCTAACCAGAAGGCTGGCAGTTCAAACCCACCAGCCACTCCTCGGAAGGAAGGTTGGGCAATCCTACTTCCGTAGTGATACTGCCTCGAAAACCCAAGGAGGGGTCGCTATGAGTCGGGCCGACTCGACGGCACATAACAACAACAACAACAACAAGACAAAGGATTTTACCTTTGTCTCCTTTTTAAGGACCTCTGGTGGTGTAGTGCCTAAGGCATTTGACTGCTAACCAGAAGGTTGGCGGTTCAAACCCTCAGCCACTCCACGGAAGGAAGACTGGGAAATCTGCTTCTGTGAAGATTTACTGCCTTGGAAACCCAAAGGGTATTGCTATGAGTAGGAATCAACTCAGTGGCAGTGAGTTTAGTTTTTAGTTTATTTATTTTTTTAACAATAAGACACTGATTTTTTTGTTCTATAATTATATCTTTTGCTTGTGGCTTAAGTTAACATTAAAAATCTCCTGTCTAGGTGGTTTCTGGAAAGGTGGTGTGGTGGGTTTGAGACCTGAGGGATTGGATCAGAAGTTCCTTGAGTTGGGGAGGAAGGTTATACTACAGTAGCATCTTTATGTGGATTTCCAAAGCACGTAAGACTCACCTAAAACCACAAAGACTTGTTTTGTTAAAGTGCTTTTAATTTTCACTATATCTAGAGGATTATTTCCAGGAATATCTGATTTTGCTTTAGTTTAAAATGAAATCTTGAGAGCATCTTTGCTGCTTAAAGTCACATCTAATACAGCTCATGAATATTATTAAGAGAAAATGTTTACAATATGCATTTGATATTTTAAATGTTCTTGGTGATGCTTGTTGTTAGGTGTTGAGTGGATTCCAACTTATTGCAACACCATGTGACAGAGTAGAACCACCCCCATGGGGTTTTCTAGGCTGTAATCTTTACATGTCTTTCTGTTGGGCATCACAGAATGACCTGTAAAGATTGGTGTTGGCGAACAATACTGAAAGTACCATGGACTGCCAGAAGAACTAACCACTCTATCCTAGAAGAAGTACAGCTGGAATACTCCTTGAAAGCGAGACTGGCCAGACTTTGTCTCACCTACTGTGTTCATGTCAGAAGGGACCATTCCCTGGAGAAGGATATAATGATTGGTAAAGTGGAGGGTCAATGAAAGAGGTGAAGGCCCTCAGCGAGATGGATTGACACAGTGGCTGCAATGATGAGCTCACGTATAGCTAGGATTGTGAGGCTGGCACAGGACTGGGCAGTGTTTCGCTCTCTTGTACATAGGGTCATTATGAGTCAGAGCCAACTCGATGGCACCTGGTAACAGCAAAACAATCTTCACAGGGGCAGAGTGTCAGGTCTTTTCTCCTGAGGAACTGCTAGGTAGGTCTGAACCTTCCAGTTAGCAGCCAAACGCTTAACCATTGCTCCACACCCAACAGAAAGACCACTGGATTTCTTATTGCTTCCAGATCTCTAAATGAGAATGTCAAGCCCATCCTATTTCCTATTTGTATACATTTCCTTGTGTACTGTTACATGGTTAAGGGTTGTGAGTACTGTTTCCAATGTTGAAGTCTGAAATTTGTTTGCTTTCTTCATCTTTTAGGTATAATACACATCTTTTTTGTGTAATCCCAGACAGTAATGGGGGAAGTTCATGTTTGATTCTAAACCCTAGTCTAAACTTACTTAGCATTAGGTGGAATAGTAGATGATGTAATGTCACTTAGATTCCACAAAGCCATAGTAGTAAGTCTTTGGTGGTCACTGCCTGTGCCTTCTCCAGACATTATTGGGTTAGTCAGAAAAGTACATAGAGTGGTAAGTTTCACCTGTGTTCATGAATGCTTATGGCTTCCATAAAGTTATTACCTTCAGAACCATATGAAAAGCATTTGAAATGTTCTATATTGGAGTCTTTGACTACTTAAGGAAGCATATCAGGATGAGACAGATTTATAAACCAAGATAAAATTGAAATTTATAATAAAAATGTGTTTTATGAATACTTCATTCTTTTGAAAACACCACATTTTCTAAAGTGGGGGGACCTTTAGAGTTCCGTTTTCTAGAAAAGGAAAACTTGGCAGATTTCCTAAATATACAATTTGCAAAGAAATTTGCTTCCTGAAGCATATTTAAAAGTGGCATCAGTAAATTAAATTTTTGGTCAGACTTATAGTGTAGAAGAAAAGGACTTATATTTTTAAATAAACTCTTACTTCCAAAGTACTCTGTATACCATCACTATGTTTTTATCCAGCATTCATCTGACACAAACCCTTGGCTTGTTTTATGGCCTGCTCTGTGGGAATACTGCAATGAAAAAGATGGTGACCTTATCCTTAAAGAAGCTATTGCTATTCACTGAAGAGGAGAGTATGTGACGAGTTTGCTCTTTTATCCTTTACTAAATTAAAAGAATTAGTTCTTTTGCAGATTTCATTTGATTCTGTTGGTTGCCTCTTTTGATCAAAATTGTCCATTTCTGCCCATTAGTGGTTTTACTTGTAGTTAGTCTACAATAGAAGTATTTAAATTGTCTGTAATTTGTGTGTATAGAGGATTTATCTTGCACTTAGATTGTACAAATTTTTAGCAGGGTGGGTAAGAGAGCACTTAGATAGAACTATATATAAGGTTAGACATTTGCCCTAAGACAGTCACACATCAGCTTCTGAGGAAGACTAGAGGAGTTTTAAAGAGGAGCTGGTTGTGCAGTTAAGAATTTGGTTGCTAACTGAAGGGTCAGCAGTTTGAACTCACTAGCTACTCCATGGGAGAAAAGACCTGGCAGTCTGCTCCTACTTTAGCCTAGGACATGGGAAGTTCTGCTTATGAGTTGGAATTGACTCACATAACAACAGATGAATTTAAAGGTACCTTCTAATCCAGGGAGTATGGGAGATGTTTAGCATAGTTGTATAGTGTGTTTTGGCAGGCTGAGTGGTATTTGAATATTTCAACATTGAAATATTATTTTCAGTGCTGTTTTTTTGCGTTGCATGCTTATGGATCCTGAATCAGCAGTGTCAGTTAGAAGGAGCTTAGTTTACAAATAGTACCCCATACTTTCATACCAATATGATAGGCAGTGATTGACTTCATTTCATTTTTGGTATGTTATATGCTGGCACTGCCAATTGGACAATTCCTGAGACTGGTGAGTGCCTACTTCCGCATTTTTAGAATTTGAGTTTTGCTCTTTGTTTGTGAATTCATAAAGGTTTATTTCCCAATGTATACTGTGCCCCGTTTCAGAGTACCCTTTCAGGGTACTCATCTAATTGTGTTTTTTAACCTTTTTGTCTTGCAGTCCCTGCTTCTGTTCGTTATTCCCATACAGACATCAGAGTGCCTGACTTCTCTGACTATCGTCGTGCTGAAGTGTTAGATAGTACAAAGTCTTCAAAAGAGAGCACTGAGGCTAGAAAAGGCTTCTCCTATTTGGTAACTGCAACAACTACTGTGGGCGTCGCCTATGCTGCCAAGAATGTCGTCTCCCAGTTTGTTTCCAGCATGAGTGCTTCAGCTGATGTGTTGGCCATGTCAAAAATTGAAATCAAGTTATCTGATATTCCAGAAGGCAAGAACATGGCTTTCAAATGGAGAGGCAAGCCCCTGTTTGTGCGTCACAGAACCAAGAAGGAAATTGAACAGGAAGCCGGTGTTGAAGTGTCCCAGTTGAGGGATCCACAGCATGATTTAGAACGAGTAAAGAAACCTGAATGGGTTATCCTGATAGGTGTTTGCACTCATCTTGGTTGTGTACCCATTGCAAATGCAGGAGATTTTGGTGGTTATTACTGCCCCTGCCATGGGTCACACTATGATGCGTCTGGCAGGATCAGGAAGGGGCCTGCACCTCTCAACCTTGAAGTTCCCTCGTATGAATTCACCAGTGATGATGTGGTTATTGTTGGTTAGAGACTTGGACTCAAGTTACAGGCTTCTCTCAGTCTTCATGTCACCTTAGAAGAGTTACTTGAGAGCAGTCCTTCTGTACTTCAAATTGATTGATTTGAAATACTTAAGAATTGCTGATAATGTATTTGTAAACATTGTGAAGTAAATTGAATTAAGTATTGAATACTTTCAAGCATTCACCTAATAAAACCTCTCTTAAACTTCATTAAGCTCAGTCATAGACTTGAAAGGTGGTGTGTCTTTGATAGGTAATTCTAATTAAAAATTACAGACTGGTGTACAAGACATTTGTGTCAAATCTGTAATTTACTTTCTCGTTTATTGCCTAATATTTGGGTCCTTCTTTGTATCAGGAGCACATATCTACTCAAGTTCATGGTTAGGATGAGGTTAAATTGGTAGCCCCAGGGCCTGCTGGGAGGTATTCATGGCATTGGCAGAAACTGTGTATCCAGGTTGCCCTTTTCACACACTCAGTCATTCTTTTGCCCATGAGTCCTGGCTATGTTTTTCCCTCCTCCTTTCTGTTTGGCATGGTAATGTCAATATGATCTATGGGACAGAATAGTGAATGAAATGTTAGCAGCTCTGTGACTTCAGCCTCAGCTCTGGCTTCCTGTCTTTGACAGACCAGAACGTTTTATTTGTCACGCTTGGAGGTAAGTTAGTACTTACATTTCTTTGGTTTTAAGAGTCAGTGGTGGGATACTAACTGAGAGGAACTTTGCAAAGTGGAAGTGCCTGTTTCTTCATCTGAAGCTGTGGGTACTCATGTCCCCGGAGCTTCGAAATCCACTTACCAAGAAACAGAAAAGGAATAGTGAGTCTGAGATTTAATAATGGCCCTGCAGATTTTGTTTTCTGTGGTTACATTTTGAGTTATTTCTTCCAGTTGGATTTGTTGTCATGTAGCTCTTTGACCATGAAAAGGTGAGAGTGGGAATAGGAAGAGTGTATCAGAGTTACTACCTCTTCCCTCCTCCAACCACTCAAATTACACAGGTATAGCTGCTAGACCAAGGTACGATACTCCCCCTGGTTGCTGCAAATGGGGTTTGCTCTTTGTTTAGGATCACTGCTATTTCTTTACTAAGAATTACATCTACTTTCTGATAATGCATATCACGGCTCTACTGTTTGGTGGGTGGTGGACCAGTAGTATACTCCAGTGGGTCTGCCTTTAACCACATGTGTATTTATAAAATAGCAAACTAGATTGTTAGGTCTGTCCAAAGGGAACTGACCATCCTGGGTTACAATCCTTAATGTCAATACCTAAGTAGTAAAAGTTCCTGTGATTAAGAGCACAGATACTAGTCTTTGCTTATTTTTTCCCATTTCTAGAAATCAGGTTTGGTAATTACTGATGTATTTAAAATATGTAGTATTTAATGTTCTCAGTCACCAGATCATGACGTTTTAGGTGTCAAAAATACATAAATATAAGACAAAGTGCCAGACATTCTAATTTGCTAGTTTTTGATACATACTCTATTCTAAATAGAGAATTTTCTGAAATTTTGTACATACTTAAATTTTTAAGGGGAATTTGGTATTGTTTAAAAGTAGGGGAATTATATTATTGTGCATGAATAATATAGGTAGGAGCTCTGGTGGCTTAGTGCCTAAGGCACTTGACTGCTAACCAGAAGGTTGGCAGTTCAAACCCACCAGCCACTCCTCGGAAGGAAGGTTGGGCAATCTACTTCCATAGTGATAACTGCCTTGGAAACCCAATTAGGGGTCTCTATGACTCGGATCTGACTAGATGACAGTGAGTTTGGTATTGGTTGGAGTATTATATGTTAAAATTTGGAGTATCTCATATGACAGCTTTTATCCCCATGTAAGCTCAAGAGAGATTGGTTTATATTTGTTATTTTGCTTGTTCATTATGATGATGAATCTTTCTGATATTCATGGGAAAAAACTGTCTTATGCTTTCTTCTACTCATGCTACTTTTTCATAATGCTAGGTGCCCACAACCTGTTTTTAAAAATGATACCAATATATTTAATGTCTTACACACTGACAGATTTTTGAGGTTGAATTGTAATCAAGTATTTTCTTTTTTAGATGGCATCAGTAACGATTCATGATTTCAGGATAATAAAAAAGTAGGAGCTGTTCTAGTATATATTTTGCATTCATCAAGTTCTTACTTGGAGGAACTTAATATAATGGTAAATAAAAATTGCAACTAGTAATTTGAAGGTGAATTATTAAGCCTGGAAGCACTGTTGAATGAATCCTCGGAGTCCTGCAAATCTGGGTGAATGTCATTCTCTGTAAAAGTTCAAAGTAATTTCTTTCTTTGGACATAATTGAAGTTGCGGAGCTTATGTCATGGATGTGTACTGAGTTGGGGAATTGGTATGGTAGTGAAAGATGGTGCAGTGCTTGGTTTTGCTAAATGAAAGCTTGGCAGATAGAACCCACCATCCACTCTGGGAGAAAGATTACAGCCTTGGAAACCCTATGGGGTGGTCCTTCTCTGCCCTATAGCGTTACTAGGAGTCAGAATCGACTTGAGGACAGTGGGTTTTGTTGGGAGAATTACCCCTCCTTGGGTTTCCGAGGCAGTATCACTATGGAAGTAGATTGCCCCATCTTCCTTCTGAGGAGTGGCTGGTGGGGTTGAACCGCCAGCCTTGTGGTTAGCAGTCAGGTGCCTTAGGCACTACACTACCAGAGCTCCTACTGGACCAGAAGTTAGCGTTTTAATTCAGGCCTTGCTATTTCCTAGTTACATGGCCATGGGCTGTCATTCAACCTCTGTGACATGTTTTCTCATCTGTAAAACAAGGGTGAACTAGGTCATTTCTAAAAGTCCTTACAAGTGTAAGCTCCCCCAATTCAATCCCACCACAGTAATGGAGGTGGTTGTGTGTGTGTGTGTGATTCGAGTGAAAGTTCATAGAGCAAATTCATTTCCCATTGAACAGTTCATACCCATTTAGTTTTGGAAATTGATAGCAATCTCCCACAGTGTAACAGCTCTCTTCCCACTTCTGTGGTTACCTTTTTGCTATGTCCTTTCCTGTGCATTCCTGCTTTCTCTCTGTACAAATGCTCCCCTTCTGATCTCCTGTGGTTGACTGTTAAAAGGCGTGCACCTCCCTGGTTTAATTGTTCACCTCAGAGGCCTATTGTTTGCCTGAAAATTGAGTGAGCTCAGTTCCAGACCAGAAGGATGACTAGGGACTATAGTCTCAGGGGTTTCACCAACCTCTGTCAGCCCAGTAAACCTTATCTTTTTTATGATTTTGAATTTTATTGTACATTTTTCTCCCACTCTATCCAGGATGTCCGAGTGGATCTTTTTAGATAAGCATTTGCATTTGTAAGGTGTTGCATTACAGTAAGGAGACCAAGCTCAAAGAAGCAACATTATCTTAACAGAGCCAGTCTTTCAAAAAACTGGTTTCAGCCAAGGACACTTGCTACTTTAGAGGATATTCTTGGCTTCTTTATCATCCCAACTATTAGAGTGCTGCTGGCATTTGCAGGGGTGGGGAGGGATGGTGGGGCAGGTAGTAGTGGTATTGATGGAACAGGAATGCTAAATGTTTTAACTGGGTGGTATGTGGGAGTATGTAGATCTACATACCAAACACTTAATTCTACTGCCAAAAGTGTCAACAGCAGACCCTTCCCCTATAGAAAAATACACCCCATATTACACCTTACCTAGAAGTGATACCTCAAAATATTTCCTGCATGCTCACGTTTCATGTTTGAAACTGAAACACAACTGCTTTAGAAGCTAACTGGTGATGGAGTGCCAAAGCAGTGTTTGCAGATCCCCGGGTTTTGTATCACTGGCACTTTGTGCTGGAAGTACTGCATTTGGTTGGCTGCTTATGATGGGATGTTGTTTAATAGCAGTATCCCCTTTAATTTTGTTTTGAAAGAAGTTACTGTTCTCCAAGTAGAACAAGTAAACTCACTTGGTACTAGTTTGTTAAATGGATTGAGCTGACCTCGGTTGGTATTTTAACTACTTTGATGAAACAAAATCATAGATTTTAGGAGAAATGACTTAAAAGAATGGAAATTTGACCAGTTAACCTGACATCAGATCATTAACATGTACCATGTTTACCCTCTTTGGAATAATTCTTGGGACAGTCAGAGTGATTATAGAAAATAGCCTTTTTGAAAAATTTGCTTTATTTTTTACAGAGGATATCAAATTTACTTGGATCTTTCTGAACATATCAACCTAAAAATCTATCTTTGACTCAATCTGAGTGTATAGAGGGCATTTGTCCTTATTTGATATTTACAGCTAGAGGACAAAGTGGGCTTTTAGTACCTTCATTTTTCTAAATACTGGGAGTATACTATTGATCTGAATGTCAGAAGTCATTCTTCATTGCCACCATGCTAAAGATGTAATCTTCTATATTTTTATGTCATTTGAATTCCATTGCATTTGTATGTTATTTGTAAAATAAATGTCCATATTTTCAGAATGATATCCTTGGCCTACTGTTCTACACACTTTCACTCTGAAATATCTGTAATTTCTTAACTACCCATTGCTAATGACTTCCCTAGGTGACTTCCTGAGCTCTATACTGCTTTCTGGACATTCCATTACCACCTTAAATGCAAGATGTCTGAAAGGAAAGGCAGTCTTGTGCCTTCATAAACCTGCTTCTCCATTGCAGTTGGCCTCCCCATCTACCTAAGAACTTTGCTATAGAACCGGAACCCGGCAACATTTCCTACCTCCATTTTCATTGTCCCCTCGGGCCCAAATCAGTCCCCCAATCCTGCTAGTTTTATCTCCTCAATATGACTTGGATTCCTTACCATCTCTGTCATCTGTTGAATTCTAGAAATGGCAAACTTTTTGAGCACTGACTACTAGCTGTTGGGCTATATTTTAATTGGGTCTTCAAGAAATTCAATCAGATAAGCAATGTTGCTATTCGGTAGATGAAAAAACTGAGGCATATGGAAGTTCCTTGTCTACAATCATGTAACTGGTTGGTCGATGAAGCCAAGTTAAACACAGGAGGTCTGTATCCAGAGCCTGTAGGCCTGATCACCATCCTCTAGCTACTTAAAAAAAAAAAAAAAAAAAGCTGTTGAGTCACTCCCTGCTCCTGGGAAGCCCACGTGTTACAAAGTAGAACTGCTCCATGGGGCTTTCTTGGCTGTGCTCTCTGAAAGTGTAACAACACCAAGTTTTCTTCCACAATGCTG